TGATGACATAGTTGAACTGTGTGTTTTTCCGTTTCGTAATACAATGTAAATCGAGATTACTTAATATTAATTAAAAATCTTCATATTTTTTAAATTGTAAATTAATTGTAATTTAATGTTTCGTATTAAAAAATCTCCCAGTCAATATTAATTATCTTTATAATTAAGCGTTAAAGTAAATATCTATTAGAGCAAAATCCAGAAATTAATTTAATATTTTACTACTTTTTCTCATTTATGAAACTCAATTCTCAAAAAGCACCTTATTTTGATTTAAAAAAAATTATAATCTGATATATATAATTATTCTGTTTCTTTTTATTGCCACTTTGACATTTTCACGAAGGGAGAATCGATTGCAGAACTCGGGCGAACAATCCATACTTGAAGAAAACAATAAGAACACGCTGTATTAGAGTGACACGTTCATCGCGGTTAGACAATCGCTCGCGAAAACGATTTTTACAAAGCTCCGAGACGAGCTCTGGGAAGGATCGGCGCCTTAAAAAACGCAGGTTCGTTAAGTTTCTTGTCTCGATCCCACCCGCGCGTCAGACACAAAAAGGGTATCCCTTTTTCTTCCATCCTGCCTTTCCTTTCTCTATTCTTTGCCGCTTCGCGCGTTCCCTCTCTCTCTCTCTTTCTGTCGCTCTCTTCCTTTTTCTTCCTTCCACTGGCACTGTCGTTCGTTCGCTAGAAACGGGAAACGCCTAAACTATCGATCGAATTACGTAACTGCAGGCGGGGGCCAGTAATCTCGTTTTTATAACGAACTTCGCCGCGCAAGTGAAATGTCCCTGGGATCGTTATAGACGTTATGAATTATGGCTTTTCTGAACGTTCGAAAGCGCGGCTTTTAGCAGGGAGTGTTGATGTCGATACTGAGTACCGACAAGTAATTACGATCGGTAATTACAGCGATATCGTGGATCTTGACTTATGAGAATTAGTACTTGGAAAATAGTGCGGAATAACTAGTTTCGATTATTTTATTACTAGTTAAAGATAATCTTTTTTCGCTGCGTGTTCACAGAGAGTTTACATATCGAGTTTACATATCTATTTCAGTCGCGTCTCTGAATAATTTTTTTTCTTTCATTAAATATTGTTGCAATTTTCTTCTAATGCCGTTTCGTAGCATAGCCGTTTCACATTTCACAATCAAACAGTTTTACAACGAAGAACGAGATTATTTGTACTGTACTCTTTAACTTCCCGCGATGCGTTACTTTTCTTGGAGCATCCGATATTAATCGATATATTTACAGATTTTGATATCAATGCCTCTCATTCTTCGCTTGGCGCGCGGAATTTCCCGTTCCGCGATAACACATCGTGTTTCGCTTATCTCGCGAGCGCCTTCGAGAACTTTCCGAGTTTTCTGAACTTGCTGATTCGCGAAGATCGGAATAATCCGCGGAAGATGGAAATTCCGAAAAACCCGCGCTACGATAAGTGTAACCCGCGCTTGACTCTACGCCACACATTATAGAATCGATTTTCCGGAATATGCAAAATAATGGAGCATTACTTATTCGATGTCTGAAACAGATAACGTAATCTAAAGTGCAAAATGTGAATAATATAAAAATATTCTTTCTCTCGACGTGGAAATAGTTACAGCTATATATATATTTTTTTTATATATCAAGATTTCCGATACAAAATGGTAAAAATGTTGTTTTTATGCGAAAGTCGCTTAATTGTAAAAATCGTAAAGATTAAAATTTCAGAGTATCAGCGTGATTTTTCGCAAATACCGATTCGCCTCGCATCGACGTTTGCGCCGCGGGCAATACTCGTCATTACGACCCCGCCCGCCCCCGTCCATCCTCTCTCGCGATACGCTTTTATATCGATTCATATAAATAACTGGAATAATGTCCGGTCGAATAAATATTTATTGCGCGCCATTACGAATGTAAATTTCCGTCGGTATTCCGCGTTTTCGCTGCCGCATTTCGCCGTAAAGCGTCTTGGGATCGATCGCGCGCCTGTCATGCTTCCGCGTTCGCTGAAAAAAAAAGAAAAACAAGAAAGAAGCGACGGCGGGAAGCGCGGAGGGAAGAGCGGCTTGGGGGAAGAGACCGACGAGGGAGATCGACAAATTTGACGAAGCACCCCTTTTCCGCGCAGGCAGGGTCGTTCTCTCCGCCGGTTTCTTCCATTTATATTTCTTTTTTTTTTTACTCTTGACGAAAGACGAAGCGCCGTTATGCACGATAAAAAGTTTAATGTCAGAAGACGTCGCGGACGGCGGGAGGGTTGAACGGGAGGAGGGAGGAAGCCGGTGACGAGGAGAGGGAGAGGGAGAAGGGGGAGGGGGTGGGGGGTGAAAGTGCCCGAGGATCGTAATGACTCGATATGAAACCCGGGCAGTGCAATTTCTTTCTTCTTCTGCCCTTTCCTCCCGCCCCTCGCTCGTCTCCGACGTCTTCCTCTTTTTTCATCGTAGTATTTCCCCATAAAAGCGCCCCGGCATAATAAAAAGCGTTATATAGCTGGCACTGAAAAGTAACGCGTCTATGCGTCTCTCTTTCCCTCCCGCCACCACCCTCCCACACCCTCGCCCGCCCGTCCGCGAGACAGTCTTTACGGCCTTATTTGCGGAGACGTAAAAATCGCGAAAATCAATACGGAACTTCTAACATTAAATATTCAGACTATTGACTGGGCGGGGCCGAGTCAGACACTAGTCGTTCGCGGTCCCCCTCCCATGGTCCTCCCCCTCGTCCTCGCGACGGAATGAAAAAAATTAGTGGGACTAAGGCTCGATGGATTAACGAGGAGAGGACAGGGGACGAATATGCGAAAGAAAATAAAAGGGTGGAACGCGACATGAAAGAAAAAAAAATGCATGTCCTAATACAAGTTAAAAACGTTGTGTAATAAAAGGAAAACCTCCATCTCTGTCAGAAAGAGGATCAAATGGAATCGCTAATGTGTGTCTATTGTTATACCGACATCATTATCCAGCTGGAAAAAAGGAGCGTGTCATTTGAAATTGAAAAAGATAAGGGGAAAAATATGTATTATTCTCTCGCGCGTTGAAATAAAATTTATAGAGAATATATACTCGACTACGATAATGATTACGTGTTCTCCAAAATTGGTGTATAGTTGGAAATTTCGTCACGGCTTAAAAAACTCCCGGTGTCGTTATATTTTTCCTCTCTAACGACGGTAGCGCGCTATTAGCGGGGGTGGGGAGGGGGGAAGGGACATCGCGAAAGAAACTCGCGCAAACTGTCCGGAAATTCCCACGACATTCGCGTTCGCGCGCGAGGGTCTCGTACCAATTTACCTATTCCCGTTCCGTGTTACACACGGCAATACGCGCGCGGCGACATCGGCCAATTAGCATACAAAAGAGGTGCAATTAATCGAAGGTTGCAACGACAACAACAGCGGCAACGCGTACGGTTGAATAAGATCCAAATGATCGCCCGGAGCGTTCGAAACATAAAAAGTCGATCGTGACGGAAAACGGAAAAATTCCTGCACTCGGCCACTCGGAGACTCGAGTCCGCGAACGAAACGGCAACACGGGGGGGTCTCCCACGGTGAGAACGCTCGATATTCTCTGTCGAGAGATAATCCCGCGATCTGGAAAAAAAAATTACGAAGATAGATATTCGGAAAATTAATGTCGTGATACGCCGCTCTAGAAATCGAGGTATTACAAATCCATCGATCAAAAAATCGCACTACCACTTTGTATAAATTTTCATCGGAGGCGGAAAGTGTCCGCTCTCGGAAGGGTTATAAACGATATGCCACGTCGCGAACGAAGAATTCTTAAAGGAGGAGAGACCTCATTGACTTTCATGCCAGATATTTACGTTGAGAGGAGGCCGGGAAGGGGAGGGGCGGCGGTCTTGCAAAAATCCCCTGAATGTGCAGACAGGAATTCATATTTTATCGGTTGACGCGCGCTCGATCCATACATTACGTTGGTACGCTCGTTACGCGCGTCAATACGACTTCCCGGACAATTCCATTTCGCCGGTAATTAATAATGATCGACGCGTCGCCACCGCCGCCGTCGCCGTTGTCGTGTGCGGATCGGCGTTGCGCGCGCGTGTCCTTACTTGCCGAAGCGAATAAATTGGATCGTGTTACGTAACGTGAGACTAAAGTGACGTTTACCGCGAGCTGCAGAAAAAAGGGAAAAAAAAAACAGATAGTGTTACACGTGTTTCTCTGTGCTAATTATAAATTCGACAAATTGCCTGTGATTCCAATTCCCGGCGTCACGTCCAGTGTCAATTAATGCAAATTAATCAGGGAACATTGAAACTGAAGCTTATACAACGACTTTTCTGATTAATAAACGATACTGCAACATTTATGCGTGCCCGCGGTAACGAAGTTACCTTCGCGCCGATGAAATTCGACGCAATGCTACGCGCGCGGCAGCCGTATGCCGCGGCGCGACCGCGCGCGGTAACACCGCGGAAAGTCCTACGAAATGTCGTTTAGTTTGCACATTGTTGCATGCATGTAGCCGCGCTACAATCAACCGTCGGCTGCTATGATTAAATTTGGATAACGTAACTAACGGCGGAATCAGTTTGACCTCGGTAAATAAATAGCGTAATAATATCGTAGATTGGAAAGCAAATGCATTTTTCATTAACCGCCTGCTGCACGTTGAGTGCGGAATATTACGAATGCGCATGTGGTTTCGTATATACGGAGCGTTAAAGAGGGAGGCAAAAAAGGAAGGTGTACGAACGATAGTGCAGCATCCTTTTCCCTCGCGTTCCGTGAAGCTTATCTCCGTCGGGTTTTTAGATTTGACTCGGTCGCAATTAACCCGCGCCGTTATCGATGTGTCCGACGTGCAACGTGCGGTTATACTCATAATATACGTGCATGTAGATCGCGGGCTCCTTTACTACGCGCGCGCATTTATTTACACGACTCCTTTCGCGCTCTCCCACAGATAAAATCACCGCATAAATGATTAACAATTGCGCATGTTCGCATGTTCGCAGGTTGTACTGTCGGCGTGTAGCACATACTTCGACACGATCCTATCGCAGTACGAGGAGAAGGACCCCATCGTCATCATGCGTGACGTCAAATTCTCGGACATCAAAGTGCTGGTCGAGTTTATGTACAAGGGAGAGATCAACATCGATCACGTGAGTGTTGTTGCAACTTCCCGTAAATGATTTTCTTTCGCGCGACGGATTTTCGTATCGATTCTGCGCGAGCAATTTCGCTTGAGAAATTTATTTCAGAGAGAAAATTGAAGGAGGGATGTCATTTCTCAGATTATCATATTTAATGGAAATATGAAAAATGAGAGAGAAAGAGAGAGAATGAAAAATGAAATAGAAAAGGCTGAAATAGTAAACGGAAACGGAGAGTAGTAGAGCGAGAGAGAGATATTCAGTTAGATTGTTTCAAATTAAGTTAGCTGTAAGATAAATTGCGAATGTAAGTATAAGCCAGGATAAGCTTGATTGTAAATAGAAATAAGCGAATGTGACGCGAAAGTCTTGCAACTTCATTGGAAATCAATAAAAATACAGAAATAATGAAAGTTTGCGAAGCAATTATATCCCGAAATAAATCGTGCGAATATCTACTCGTACAAAAATTACAATGGAATTCCTAAGAGGTATTGGCAAAGGAGACTGACGCGAAGCATAACGCTCATTCCACCTATAAGAATTAAATATTGTCGACCGTGATAATCTCTCTCTCTTTCTCTCTAAGTCATATCTTAGATATATTTTCACTTCGTGCTCATTAATGTTGCTATTTGCGGCGGGCGTTTTATTACGTCGCCGTGAAATAAAGTTAAGCAGTAAAACCCCGCCATTCTTCAGACAATAAATCCCCGCCTTCCTCAGCACTTTTCCAATAACAACAATTTCGCGTAGATAACAGCCGCCGCGCTCTGTGACAGCCATGGTTAACGAGAGAACTTTACGGTGCCTATTATCTTGCAAAAAACTAATGTCTCTCATTCGCGGCGACGACAATCGTAAGTTCGAATGCGCCGAGACGTGTTATGACAAGACCGCCGTGTGTAACATGTCAGAAATATCGATCTGTCAAGGTAAATTCCTAGTTTTAAAACAAAAAATAAGGGCATATGGTGATTCAGAAAATCGATAAGAACATACGCAGTTGTGTCCGACACTTTGACAAATTCAAAGTCGATCTTTCTCATGTGAAAATTTCGAAGCAGATCTACATAAAGATATTTTAATAAAAAATTCTAAATCTATAATTTCATAATAGAATTATAGACTTCGATAATTCTATAATAAAATTCTAAAATTCTAAAATTTTAATTAATTTAAAATGAACTCGATTTTAATAGAAAATTTTTTAAATAATTGCTAATATTTAATAAAGTGAAGATTGAAAAAAATAGCTATAGAAACGTTATTTTTTGCTGAGAAAAATCAATTGTTGATTGCGTGATTAAGATAATAATAGTGATATATTATTTATTCTTCACTTACAATATTATGTATCTACTTATAAAATAACAAGAATCGGTAACCGTACAGTTCATATCATACATTTCGCTAATTGTTTTCTCGTAATCCTTGAGACTTTTTAGTCGTGGATTAAAGAGAGCCTGTGCGCTTGGAGAATATAATAACAAATGAATAATCCACGAAAATCCATTTATATTTATACTATTGCACCGCTCCTTGCATCTGGTTTTATTAATGAGAACGGAGCGAGCCGTTCCAGCATCTTGTTTGCTGATATTATTACGTTTTCAATTTTTCGAGATTGCCCGGAGTACATATTTAAGGAAGAAAATACGTTCTCCCGGAGATTTTTTCGAGATATCTCAAACATTTCGCCTG